AAAGAAACTTACTTTTCTTTTGATTATTCTGTAACCCTAAACTGTTCATATACTCTTATGTGGTAGATTGGCATGAAACGCTATTTGAGCTAATTGTTAAATTTGTTTGAGCATGCTTTTTTAACCTTTCTCCCTACGACCCTTCCGAGTCCTAACTTTGTTGTAACAATGTTAAAAAAAACTAATTAAAAAAAATTAACTTAGTCACGCTCCTCTTTATTATTTAGGCAGATACACAACTTAGGGTATTACCTTTAATGCGTTCTTCACCTGTTATTGGCTTTTTGCTGCACTATATATGTAACCTGCTCAACTTCGCTGCACTATTTGTTTCAATTTACGATGTTACGAAGTTTGTATGTTAACAACAAAATCTAACTAAAATGTTTGAAAACTAAAAAAAAAAACATTAACTTAGCTCTAGGGGTTGGACTAGATGACCCTGGAGATCCCTTCAATCTCTTATTATTCTAATTGTAAGGGGGGGGGGTTGGTTTGTAATGAAACCGAATCTGGGGCTCTTTTTGATTCATTCAGGCCGCCTGGCCACGCCCCCCGCCCGCTTGGCCACGCCCCCACCCGGAACGCTCCAGGCCACGCCCCCTCCTCCCTCCACCGCCTCCCGGCTCTCCCCGGCCACGCCCCCTCACCGCCTCCTCCGGCCCCGCCTGCTTCGACCGCCGCCTCAGGCTGAGGAGAGGCGGCGAGTCCGCCCCGGGGCACGTCGCGTAGAAGCTTCCCCCTCCGGTGCCTGCCCCGCCGCCGGCCATCTCTCCCGCGGGACCCCTTCTCCTCGCCGCTGCCCTCGCCTCAGCCGCCGGCGCCGCCAACCGTCCCAAACTGCGCGCGGAAAACCGCCACTCTCCTGCCATTGGGCTGAGCCCGCGTCACTTAGCGGCCAGCGCGGCCAATAAGAACGAAGGGTCGTTCGCCAGCGCCCGCCTCCCCCTCCTACCCGTCCGCCGCGGGCCGTCAGCATTCGCGATTAGTTTATAGGAGGGCGGCGCCACGCCCACTTCGCGGGGTCGCGAGTTCGATTCCCCGGTGGCGACCTTGTTCTTTCTGGTAGTCACATAGTGTTCCTCGTTGTTAACTGGACTTTCTAGCTTTTTAATATTGTTGGTTTTAAAATGTATGGTTCGTCAAATCAGTATTAATTGTTATTAACGTGTTTTATGTATTATGAAGTTTTATCTTGGTGGAAGCCGCCCTGAGCAACCCTAAGCCGGAATGGGCGGGATAGAAATAAATAAAAAATAAAACTGAGGGTTTGGATGAAAATCTCCAGATTCCTAGGGTCGAATTTTTTGGGGGGTGGGGGCCAGTATAAGCTCAAGGACAGCTATCTAATGTTCATGGCAATCAAGAGGTTATGTCTAAAATTAGAAGTTATGTGTACTCAGGTTAGCCTGAGGGTGTGTAGCTAGATCATGCCATGTCTAGGATTCAATGTGTGGGGAGAGAGTCCCAAACAGGTGTTCCTAGGAGTGGGCTGAACTCCAAACAGTGTCCTTACCAGGGGTCATTTCCTGCGGGAGCACACAGGAGTGGAGCTCCGGCAGTAAGGAGCCCAGGGGGCGGGCACATGCAACAAGCCCCACCCCCTGCTCCCAGCAGCCCTCAGTCGGGCCATGAGCAGCAAGTAGTGGCCAGGTAAGTTGCAGAGCCACCCCTTCAGATACAAGCTCTCCCTCCTCTGTGAGGGCAGATCTGCGCGTTCCTCCCCCCCCCCCCAACCTTACAAGCTAGCAATCCAAAAGAGTCCAGTGGAGCCTGAGCGGTGGGTGTTGCCTATTGACACACTTCTGATGATGTCAGGGGGTGTGGCATATGCAAATAAACTATGCTAATAAATTACGCTAATGAGCTCCTGCACCTCTTTCCGTCCAGCCTCTCCCCTGATCCTTACCACATTCCTGTTCTGGGCTAAGCCGTCCTGGCTCAGGCCAAGAGGTCAATTGCATTGGCTTGAAATGCACCCCACAGCGACAGCCCTCTGGTTCCAAAACCACACCTTTACTTCTTGGCCAGGTACCCTGGAAGCTGCTCACTGATGTGGTGACAATGCAGAGCGCTGATACGGTGCTTCACGTAGGTGAGCGTAGTTGTGTTCACAACAACCCTGTCGGGTAGGCCACTGTTACACAGCAGACGGAGGAGGCAGCTGAGGCCAGTGGCCACCGGGTGAGTTTGTGGCAGGGAGAAGATCCTAACTGGAGACTGACAGGCTCAAAGACCCTTCTCTCAGGTATGGTGCTATGCACACCTGCTCCGTTTATTTGCCACGTATGCAAAAAGTGTATGACTCCTCCTTTAGAGGCAGCAATGCGAAGCCATGGTGGGTGTCTTAGAATCATAGAATGTTAGCGTTGGAAGGGACCTTGCAGGTCATCTAGTCCAACCCCCCGCACTCTGCAGGCGCACGGCCAAAAGACAGCCCTACAACATACCCGGAAGATGGTCGTCCAGCCTCCGCTTGAAAACGTCCAGCGAAGGAGCCTCTACCTCCTCCCGAGGCAGTCTGTCCCACTGCTCAACCACTCTCACAGTTAGGAAGTTTCTCCTGATATTTAGCCAGTAACAACTCCCTTGTCATTCCCACCCATTAGATCTAGTCTTGCAATCCGGAGCAAGAGAGAATAGATCCGCTCCATCTTCTACATGACAGCCCTTCAGATACTTGAAGACTGCAATCATGTCCCCTCTAAGCCTTCTCTTTCTCAAGTTAAACAGACTCAACTCTTTCAGCCTTTCCTCATAAGAATCATAGAATGTTAGAGTTGGAAGGGACCTTGCAGGTCATCTAGTCCAACCCCCCGTACTCTGCAGGAGCACAGCCGAAAGATAGCCCGACAACATACCCAAAAGATGGCCGTCCAGCCTCTGCTTGAAAACGTCCTGCGAAGGAGCCTCCACCACCTCCTGAGGCAGTCCATTCCATGGCTCAACCACTCTGACAGGAAGTTTCTCCTGATATTTAGCCGGTAACGACTCCCTTGTAATTTCCACCCATTAGATCTAGTCTTCTTGATCCTTAAGTTCTCTCCGGCCTAGTCCTGCCCACGGTTACTTGGGAGAAAGCCCAATTCGCTTCAGTGGGAGAACGGCTTGTAAATAGACCTCCACAGAAATCAATGGGGCTTAGTGGGGTTTGGGGAAGGGAGGAGACGCCCAACAGGAGGTAAAGCCGCCAACTTCTCCAGGGGAACCGATCTCTGTCATCTGGTGATCAGTTGTAATAGCGGGAGCTCCCCGGCTACCACCCGGAGGTTGGCACCCTTGTGCCAAATCAACGTGGCCAGGACTGGGTTGGAGGAGTCTTAATCGTTTCTTTAGGATTTCATGTGTTTGTGCATTCTGCTTCGGTTGCCCACTCTGGCCCCGGAAATGGCTGGAGATTTGGCCGGGGTGGTCGTGGTCCTACGGTTGCCATCCACCTTCCTAAGTGGCCTTCTTCTCCAAAGGACACTTGGGCATTGGTGGCCACTGACCTCTTCAGAAAAGACCTTGGCTGTACAGGAAGAGGGGTCTGGCTGTATTCTAATGTATTAAATTGTATTTAAGCTGTTTTAAGGAGTCCTCTTTGGACCATGTTGTTGAATATGCATGAATGTATTAGACGTTAGCTGTTTATATTACAAAGTTTGAATTGGGTTATCTTTAGGACTTTACGTGTCCATCGGTATTTTTTATTTACACAGTGCGCGGGCCTGGCTGTATTCTAATGCATTAAATTGTATTTAAGGAGTCCTCTGTGGACCATGTTGTTGAATATGCTTGAATGTATTAGATGTTAGCTGTTTATATTACAAAGTTTGAATTGGGTTATCTTTAGGACTTTACGTGTCCATTGGTATTTTTTATTTACACAGTGCGACAGCCTCAGTGCTGCGAGTTTGTATCAGACTTGCTTTCAGGGCGTTACCACCAGAGTTCCCTCTAAGCACAGTTAGTGTGACGTAGCTCACAGTTTTTTTGGCCTCCGGCTCACACGTTTTCATCTCGGCTCAGGAAGGGATGGCTCCAGAGCAAACCGACTTCTGCAGTAGCCAAATCGCGCGCTCACAGCTTTCATGCCAGTGGCTCACAAAGTAGAATTTCTGCTCACAAGACTCCACAGGCTAGAGGGAGCATTGGTTACCACTATATATTTATGCCACCTGAAGGTTGGCAAACATAGGTCCTTGCTGCGGAGGGCGGAATTTGGGGAGCGATGCCCTCTGGGTTTTGACTGGACTAAACTGTAATTCTTTTGATTTGTTTTATTGTTATTGTAACCCGCCCTGAGCCTGCCTTTGGGGGTGGGCGGGTACAGAAATACAACAGGTGGATTGAAACAAAGCCGCCATATCCTCCAAGGGGAACTGTGCCCCACAGCCGGGAGACCAGCTGTCATTCCAGAATTGAGATAAAGAGGATTGTTGCTAGCACTTTATTTTGTTTGAATATTTTTTATTATTATTATTGTTGTTGTTGTTGTCATTATTATTGTCATTAGTATTGTCAGTATTATTATTATTATTATTATTATTATTATTATTATTATTATTATTATTATTATTATTATTATTATTATTATTATTATTATTATTATTATTAAAAATTTTATCCCGAACAATGCCGGCTCAGGGCGGCTTACAATAAAATTCCCATAAAACAATTGCATAAAATATTACGATTGTTTTATGCGAATTTTATTGTTGTGAGCCGCCCTGAGACGGCCTAGGCCGGCATAAAAATCTAATAAATAATAATAAATAAATGAGTGCTCCCGGCCCCACCTGGAGGTTGGCATGCCACTGGTACGCTCTGGGGCGCCCGGGCGCTTTGCGCTCTCCTGTTGCCATAGTGACAACCACGCCGAGCTTCCGTCAGGCCACGCGCGGGTACCCCGGATGTTGGCCTCCTGACACCGCTCCCGCCTGCGCGTGCGCAGACGGACGGAAGGGGACGGGCTGCGGCGCAAAGCGGGGGGGCTGACGTCACGACGTCAACAAACGGCCGCGGGGTAGGGGAAGGCGGGAGGGGCAGCCGCGGAAGGAGGCGGCCGGGGGACGATGACCAAGTACTGCCGGGCGACCAACTGCTCCAACTCGGCGGGGCAGCCCCGGCCGGACAACCAGCGCCTCAGTTTTTACAAGTCAGCCTACTTCCGGGGTTGGGGGGGGCAGGGAGGGAGGGGGGAGCGCGTGGGAAGCCGAGTGACGTCACGGCCGCAGGTGGTTATGAGGTCACAAGGGCGCTCCCGTGACGTTTCGGGGTGGGGTTGCTGTGGTGTTCTTTCTCCCGGGTTCCCCAGGGGAGTTTGGGCACTCTCAGGTCATCCTGGTGTAATGTGTTCGATTCCCTTCTCCTTCTCCACCTGCAGCTGCTGGGGTGACCTTGGGTCAGTCACAAGTCCTCTCCGCGAGCTGTTCTCTCCAGGGCAGTCTCTGTCAGAGCTCTCTCAGCCCCGCCTGCCTCACAGGGTGTCTGTCCTGGGGAGGGGAAGGGAAAGGAGTCTGTAAGCCGCTCTGAGACTCCCTTGGGTAGTGAAGGGCGGGGTATAAATCCAATCTCTTCTTCTTTTACCGCACAGGGTGTCTGTGGTGGGGAAGGGAAGGGAAAGGAGCCTGTAAGCCGCTCTGAGACTCCTTTGGGTAGTGAGGGGCAGGGTATAAATCCAATCTCTTCTTCTCCCCATGCAGCTGCTGGTGTGACTTTGGGTCAGTCACAAGTCCTCTCAGCGAGCTGTTCTCTCCAGGGCAGTCCTCGAGAGAGCTCGCTCAGCCCCGCCAGCCTCACAGGGTCTCTGTTGTGGGGAGGGGAGGGGAAGGGAAAGGAGTCTATAAGCCGCTCTGAGACTCCTTCGGGTAGTGAAGGGCAGGGTATAAATCCAATCTCTTCTTCTCCCCATGCAGCTGCAGGGGTGACCTTGGGTCAGTTACACTCTGAGTGAAGGGTGGGATATAAATCCACTCTCTTCCCCCTCTTCCTCCTCTCCTCCTCCTTCTCTTCCTTCTTGAGTTCCCAAAGGAAAACCAAATTGCACAACTAATGGTGGTGGCGTTTGTGCTTTTATAGAAGTGTGCCTGGAGTCTAGCCTTCAAGGCAAACAACATAGGGCACTGATGTCGAAACAGGTTTGCAAAAGGTCTTATTGTGACAGCAATTACGCAACGTTAGTAGCCTTTATAGGAACGGGACTTCGGCACTTCCCTTCACTGCCAAGAAACCACTCTCTTTTATTTCTCGCCCCATGCTTCCTCCCAGGGCAGTCCAAATATCCATTTGGTTTTCTCAGACTGCAAGTTGTGCTTTGTGGGGGATATTTCCCAACATTTGTGCTCTTGAGTGCGAAGTTTAATGGGGTTCCCAGAACCAAGCTGGTTCTTTAAAAGTTTTGGTATGAACCAAAGTGAGTCAGCAGGCTGGCCGCCAATCAGCATAGCAGTGTGGTTACCAAGGGGGTGGACATGAGGTTACCAGGATTTCTTGTGATGAAGTTACCAGGATTTGTTGTCGAAGGCTTTCACGGCCGGAGTTCATTAGTTGTAGATTTTCCGGGTTGTATGGCCGTGGTCTTGGCATTGTCGGACATGACGTTTTGCCAGCAGCTGTGACTGGCACCCTCAGAGGTATAACACAGAAAGATGGAGGACTCTGTGTCAAGGTGAGAAGAAAAAGGGTAAACACAACCTACAAACAGTATTCAGACCCACCAGAAAAATACAACAGATACTACAATCGGCAAAAGACAGACCCCCTCACTTCTGCAGGAGTATACCCATGCAGTTGTGGACAAGTTTACATTGGGACCACACAGTGTAGCATTCAGACAAGAATAAAAGAACATGAAAGACACTGCAGACTTGGCCAACCTGAAAAATCAGCAGTGGCTGAACATAGCCTAATTCAAACAGGACACAGTATTTTGTTCCAAGACACTGAAAGGCTTGACAACACTTCCAATTACCATGTCAAATTACACAGGGAAGCCATTGAAATTCATACACATAAACACAATTTCAACAGGAAAGAAGAGAGTTTAAAAATAAACAGGGCATGGTTTCCTGTCCTGAAAAACACCAAATGTTTAGCCGTTAGTTGTAAGTGTAACTTTCATGCTAGTCTCGGAAGCATTTTACTAGGAAGCGTTTTATATTTAAAATCTTTATATTTTTAAATTTTCTGGAATGCTTTATCTGTAATTTATATACACACATTCATATATGTGTGTGTGTGTGTAAGCATATCTGGTCTACATCTTACAACAGCACTACAGATAAGATTAGAATTTCAACAGCCAACCCATCTGCAAAAGAACCTCCTCAGGAAACAGCCAATCCATATACAAAAGAGCCTCCTCAGGAAAGCTCCTCCATTAGCATGTCCACAGCCTGGGGAACTCCTACAAGATAGTTGACTCAGCCCTACCCCACCTTCCTGAGTAGATATAAACTACCCGCCTACCATTTTTCTTCTCACCTTGACACAGAGAGTCCTCCATCTTCCAGTTTTTTGGGTCAGGTTTGTTTTTCCCCCTCCCTGTGTCTTACTGTCGCTTCTGCACACAGCTACTCAAAGTGGTTTATGGTCTCAACTGAGAAATCCAAGGCAGTCCAGAGAACTAAAGTTCCTTATTGTCCAGGTGTAGCCAGGGGTCATTTCGTAGGAAAAGAGCTAGGGGAACTCATTAGCATAACTCATTGCCACACCCCCTGACATCACCGGAAGTGTGTCATAAGGCCACACCCCCTGACATCACCGGAAGTGTGTCATAAGGCCACACACCC